CAACCCACACCTCACTTCCCCGCCCCTCTCGGACTCGCTCCATCTCCCCATGGTCTCGCTCATCTCTCCCCTACCATCATCTTGCTTCCCCTTCCACCTGCCACTCGAATCCTTCTCACTCACACTACCCCCCTCTCTCTCTCTCTCTCTCTCCCCCCCCCTCTCCCTCTCTCTCACTCATTCTCCTCCACAAGAGTGCGTCCGACTCCTACCCTATATTACCCACTCACTCTATCCTCCCTCGTCCTCTCGATCCCACCCGCGTTATCCTGCACCAACCCCTGCATCCTCTCCTATCAGCCTCTTTTCCCTGTCATCTTCTCCTTCCTTCCTTCCTTCTCTCTTTCCTTCTTTCCTCCCTTCCTCCCTTCCGCTCTTGCTTCTTCCAGTTCTCGCCTTCCGTCTCGTACGAATTATCGACGGGCGCAATTCCGATGGGTAAGAGCAGCGGCGGTGACAACGGCCTATTATCAACACTCTGTAGTACCGACTAGATGTCGGTACCAGACGCGGATACCAACTAACCGTAATACCAACGGACTACGATATCGACGCGCGAGGCATGATGCTGCGCTGATTACACGCGAAATGCGGACAAACTGGAACGCGGGGAGAAAAATGTATTGACACGTTGTAACGTCCACGGTGCAAAGTGCGAAGATACAACACCGAGATGCATACCGCACAGCCGGTCTCTCTCGTTAACTTGACAGTAGTCGCGAGTGCAACGCGAACCGTTAGGCGATGTAGTGCCTTATTTTATGCGTCGTTCAATTATAAATAATTATGTTATTTAATATTACAAACATCATATGTATATCGCTATTAATATGAATTTCGTTTTTTTAAACAATTAAAGTTGACAAAGTATTTGACAAATTGCAAGTGTTACTATTAATTTATATATTTCGTATTAAACAAGAATTGCGTTTTAATAATTCTTTAATAATGTATAATATCAAAACGTGCATGTGAGTAAATTATTATAACTAACTTTACACGTATCGTCATTATACAAACTTTATTTTTCTTGATAGAATGTTAATTTTACGTTGGCGATCTTTAAAAAATCTGAACGGAGCAAAATTATTTAATTGACACCCAACGCACAACACACCCACCCACCCACACACACACACACACACATTCATCTTTCTTTTATTCTTCTTTTTATTTTTCGGTGAAAATATAAGTCAGAAATTCGCTCAGTGAAATTAATATTAATTTCCCAACAAAACGTTAATCGTAATCGATAGTTTTCAAGCAGGCAAAAACAAGGAATATTTTAGATAAGTGCAAAAAGATTAAAAGTGCAGAGATCACATTACACATCAAGTTTCAAGACATCGATATATCTTTTTAATTTAAGAATTATGTACAATATTGAAAACAACTTATGGTAATAATAATAATTTTTTGACGTAGCCGCTAAGGAATTTTTAGTCAGAAAATCTGATGGACAAGTCATTTGTTTTAGAGTCATATTCCATATAGGCATAAAATTGCAGCAAAAATGTGAAAGCAGCAACAGTAATTTAATATAAAATATGAAAGCGATAGAAAAAGATAAAAAATAGTTTTATATTTAATCGCTTTTTGTTAATTGCATCACTTGTCTACCGATATTTGCCGATAAAGACAAATTTTGTCAAAAATAGTTATAATCCTACCCATATACAATAGAGTTGTTTACAAAATCTTCATAAAAATCTAAGAGCAAAGTATAATTAATAATAGCGCTTGTTGGAGTAGCGGCAATCCTGATGAAGATGACGATAAAATCAATTGGGAAAGAAGACGTGAAAGAAAATTGAAGAATTAAGGTACAGCGGCGATTGCTAGAACCGTGCGAGCGTGACAGTACAGGTTCCTCAGATATGTACGAGCCAGATGGAAACGTACTTGCGAAGGTAAACGGGATCTCTTCACGCTCGACCTCGTCCCAACTTTGATTCGCGACCAACGATCAACGATCGACCAATGATCGATATAAGGCCATTCGCGAATTATCGCGTATACGCGTATGTAAGGCTGCGCGAATTTATTTTCGCATACGCGACACGTTATCATCGTTGTCGCGCCACGATTACCGCGTCGGAAATCTATATCGTGAAGCGAGTTATTGTGAGATGCACGCGCTCTGCGGTTAATCTTAGACTATCTACATGAAATGTTTACGAACTCCACCCGGCACGGGTTTCATTTGCTCTTTTTTTTCTAATTTAGAACCGATTATTCCTTTATGTAAATCAGAGAGAGAGAATTTTGATAGTATGTAAAAGACAACGTACGGCAGCAAATTATGATGCAAATCAATTTTATTTTTTATTTAATTTCAAACGGAAATTGTATGCTTTCAAAAATAAGTATTAGGCGATTTTTGGCGTTTGGTACATGTACCAAGGTTGCTATTGGTAGGGGCAGAGCTTCTTCTGTTAATACCGCAACATTACGTTACAAAAAAAAATTGGTTCTTTTCTATACGCGCTAACTGAAAACTTATCCTTATGGTAATAACTGTGATTGAAATACCGACTTTAAGATAAATTTTACACGAAATAAATATGTAAAATATATTGCTTACATCTATTTGTGTTATATTTGGTGTGTTTATGCAACTTAACAACAACATATGCAAGTACCAACAGGTAACCTGCTTCATTACTTGGTATATATAGCATGGTATCAACTATATAGGTACCAAAACGGCTATACCAGAAATTACCAAACACGCAAAAACATTCTGGTACAGTTTGGTACACTTTGATTGTACCAGAGTCACGCCAAAAATCGAATTATATATATACGTAGATATATTGGCAATGATGATATATGTAAACATACAAGAGATATTTTTTTGATATATTCTTTGAAACGTTCGCTTATTGTATATCAAACGGAAGAAAAATTTTGCTTTTACGATCATTAAACTTAAAAGTAGTAGTCCTGCATAAAGATCTTCCCTATTATGAGCTTAGCTATTAGGTCCTTCACATAGAGAATGTCCGCGATACGAATCTTTGGAAGCGAGTTAACGGCAAGCGTTATTAGCGCGACAAGGTGAAACCCAGGGGCAGAAATGTCTATTGATTTTTCGAAGAAAACTCGGTATCCCTTCTCTTGAATCCGTCGCCGCTAACCTACATTCGAGCTATAATGGCGCGGCGGTACCAAGTCTAATAAAACGCGTCCGATAATGAGACTCGCGCGACTATCGCGCCGATAGCGAGACTCGTTACTTTTTTTTCCATAGAAAACAAACATGCCGATTGTTTTTCTAATCCGCGTCTAAATTTTCTTTTCTGTTTCCCTCCAAAAAATATTTTCAAATCGGCGTCGCAAACGAGCCTGCTGTTGCGATACCGATACTCGCGAATTATGTTCAACTTGCGATTTGTTCCGTTGGGCAACGTAGCACCCTTTAAATGTTCCCGTTTTCGCGGATGAACACGGCAGGATACCGAGTAACGAAGAGGGCGACTCGGTCGCAATCCCCCATTCGCACTCGCACCGAGGGGGATCGATCCACGTTCACTCTGCGCACCTACCCCTGCGGCAAAACCCAAATCCGAACCTCACTTAAAAAGCAAGAGCAACGCCACGGTTAAAATCTCTCGCATTTTTAGCCGGGGCGAATTTTCGATGCCGGTTAAACGTAGTAATCTATGTGATTCTCTCTCCTTTTCCCTCCCTCCCACGCCCCCTCTCTCTCTCTCTCTCTCTCTCTCTCTCTCTCTCTCTTCTTTACCTTTTATTAAATAACAATTGAAACTGATAAAAACCGATATAATTTCGATCGAGTCCCACTCTCGATACGGGAAAATGCTCCCTTTATTCCCAACAATGGGCACGCGACGATCACACCAATTCCACAATCTCTGCTTCTGTAAAAGAAGGATCAGTACACACACATCGAAACTATAATAAATTACACTGTACTACAATCTTCATTCATTAGTGCAAAATTATCCCCGCTGGTGCAATCTAACTTCACCTTACGATATTGCAAGAGCGCTATTAGTAAAACGACATTACCTTCTCTTGAGACCTTAGTCATCTAAAGAAAGTAACGGTAGTAACAGACTATGGCGACTATAGCGACTATAATATATTATATATAATGTGATAAAGAGAGTATCTGCATTTGAGCTGATCCACTCTAAACACCGTTGATCGTAATATATAGGGAACAATCCACGTCACTTTTACCCCCCATCTGTCCAAAATTGGTATGGACGGATTTTAATGACTAAGGGCGGAAAATGTTCGTCTTGAAAAGAGCTTTCGAAAGGCGT